GGTTTCAACCCCTTAGAATTGTTTTTGTTATGGAAATAAATAGATTCAAGATAAGTTTATACCCTTTATAATTTCACATATTTTTAATATGTATGTAACACTCTAGGGTGAAGAATGTATGATTTGGAGATTTAAGATTTTGTTAAGTTATTGAATATATAAATGTTAAAGTAAGTTTAAATTTGATACATGTATGTACAACAAGAACTGTAGCTATCCAAGTTTTGTTTCCTTCCATTTGTTTTTTTCTCAAACCAGATGGATCATAAAGCTGTTTCATAAACACATTTATCTTGTTCCAGCATAGAGTAAATATTTTTGAAAAAGAACGATAATACCAACTAGCTAGAGTTTTTATAACGGTCTTATTAAAGTATAAATATTTAAGTATAATCCGTCTAACAACTAAGTTTTAGGTGAGATGCTGGTTTAGAACGCTTGAACTTAAAATTTTCAAATCTTACTATCACACTAAGAATTAAGTGATTGTATGCATAAAATATTTGGTTACTAATATTATCTAATAAGAGTTCGAGAAAGTACCCTGTATGCTTTGTAGCAAAAAAAAAAAAAAAATAGGATTCTTGAACGAGGAACAAAGGGGATTTCATACCATCAAAATTTCACCATGAAGTCAATTTGAGAAAACTTTCCTTCTTACTTATCATGAAAAAAAATGTTTATGCTGTACCAGTAATATCCTTGGTGTTGATGAATTTATGGATTTTATATGATGAATTTATGTTAAAAAAAAAAAAAAGATGTCTAAATTGAGCAATAAAAATAAAGGAAAATGATAATTTCTGCAGAAATATCGATCCCATCGGAAACACATGCTAGCTCGGGAAGCTGAGGCAGCAAGCTGGAGCCAAAGACGGCGACTGTATGGCGACGGCGCCACCGGTAGTGGAAACAAGAGGCAGATGAGCCCTTGGCTAGCTCCCACCATGGGCTTTCCTCCAATGACACCAATACACCATTTTAGACCCTTGCACGTGTGGGGTCATCCATCCGTCGACCAATCGTTAATGCACAAGTGGCCCAAACATCTACCCCATTCACCTTCTCCTCCTCCGCCACCGCGGCCACCTACATGGCCACTAGCTCCAGCTCTTCATCCTCCACCACCACCACCATCAGACCCTTCTTTTTGGCACTCACCCCACCGACGGGTAAGCAATCTCTCTCTCTCTCTCTCACACACACACACACACATTCATTCTCATTTGGCTTACTCTTTTGCTGCAGGTTCCAAATTGTCCAACGCCGGGAACAGCTTGCTTCCCACCGACAATGGCACCAATGGTAACTACACATCCCTTACACTTGCAGAGAATTTTTTGATTCCAAATACCCAAAAGTTTGGGCTTATCCACAACATTTTTGTCCTATGAGTATTTCTTTATGAATAAAGTTATATTACAAAAAAAAAAAAACAAACATTTTGGTGCCATATAAAATTATGGGTTAGCAGCATTTTTAGTCTCTAAGTGTATATGTTTTGTCGGTTTATTTCTTATTTTATTAATTTTTTTCTAAAATTATTCAATTGATGTCATTTTGATTTTTATACAGACTGACTGTTAAATTTTTAATGAAATAAGCATTTGTTAGGCACGTGAATTTATTTGTGTAAGTAAGTGTGAAAATAATGACAACATAAAATAATAAGGTAAGACATGTTTATACATGTGACGAGATTTCATTAGACAGAAAAATGGTACCAAAAATTATCTTTACTGTATTTTTGACTGACTTGGTCACAACTCATGCAGAGATTTCCCACTCCGTCTGTCCCAAGCATTGGTGTCCCGACTACCCCAACTGGACAAACATACTCCCATACTCCATTAATCGACTTGCATCCGGTGAGAATGCCAATTACATTCTTCCCTTGTGGTGTTACTGTAATCTTATGTGGACCTACTTCTTGCACTAAATTATGAAAGTTGTTAGATTAATGGGTAATTTGATTCTTTATGAGAGCTGTTGAATTAGTGAGTCCTATTGATTATTAATACACGAGAGCAGCAATACTACTTGGACATAAAATACTAACATTATTAATTACTAGGTAAAACAATTAAAAGTTTTCTTATTATGATTAGTGTAAGCTCCGAGATTTGAATAAGTGTTGAGTATTCTTCAAGGCCAGTGTCGTATATGAGTGTGTGTGTGTGTGAGAGAGAGAGAGAGAGAGAGGGTAGTCTTCACCCACCATGTAGAGTATGAGCAGAGTAGGAGGGAATTTATTGACCTGTTTTCCACTTTTCCTGCAAAAATTATTTGATGTTTGTTGGATAATCAGCTTCTCTCTTCTAAAAAGTGGTTCGAAAGACGAATTTGAAGTACCTTAGAATATATTTTTATGGGGACAAAATTTGTACGATTTTAGAATAATTATTTCTGCCAAATATATTGAAATTTGACTTTTAAATTCTCCCTCTTGAATGTATAACAGTCGAAGGAGAGCGTAGATGCAGCAATTGGGGATGTTCTATCAAAGCCATGGCAGCCACTTCCTCTTGGACTAAAAACTCCATCCACTGATAGTGTGTTGGTGGAACTGCAACAACAAGGAATTTCAAAAATACCACCAACTTGCGCTTGAACACGATGCATATCCAACGATACAAGACTTTTTTTTGAGTTTTTAAGCCGAGAAAAAATTCCTCAATTCGACGACATTTCCATAATTTAGATTTTCTCATGTAATTTGTGAGCTTTTCACCCTTTGTCTTGCACTTGTATGTCCCTTGTTCTTGTGTCCATGTGTGCAAGAACAACTTAATTTAATGTCTTAACCATGGGTCATGAAACACAAAAACATCTTGTAATCTTTTTATATGAGGTTTTAAGCTTTTTCTCTCCCTTTGCAATCTTGCTAGGTTTCGTTTTGTTGGGTTTTTGTGGAGTCTAGTTTGTGTGTTGATCCGGATGATAACCTAATCCGAAATAATGTTGCGTAACTTTTAATGGAAAATTTTTTGAGGCTTGATCCATGGAGCGAAGGCTTAGACCACCGAAACGCAGGACATATAAAAACCGCTACTTTGGTTTTTAGGATTTGATTGTAACTAATAGCCGTCCTCCGTATTCGGATCTCTTAATAGTGAAATCCCTGCAACTTCGTGGACGTAGGTAAAATTGTCGAACCACGTAAAATTTTTGTGTCTTGTTCTTTCTTATTTCTTATTATTTTATGTTTTTGATTTGTTTTTCGATTGTGTATGTTTGTCTGTGGATTTAAAGCGTGTTAAATCCCAACACTTTTGGGAGCTCCATTTATTCATTTTTGACAGTAGCATTTGAAATTTCTTGTTCTTTTTTCTGCATATCATGGACTGGATATGGGTGGTAATTTTTCCACTCAAACACATAACAAATTCTTAGGAAAAATCCACGGTACCAAAGCATAACATACCGAAAAAATTATAATCCAATGAATTTCAGATCTGATGAGATCAAAGTTACCAAAGGAGTCTAAAAACTTGAGTTCAATCTTGAAAGGATTTGGTCCCAAGTTTTTTGGATCGATCTTGTGTACTACTAATAAAAATCACTTACATTCAAAAAGATTTGATTGCCAAACATGCTCTTATTAAAAGAGTTAATGATACCATTTCCCTTTAATAATTCAAAAAACATGAATAACTGTTCATTCTTATAAAAATCACTTTAAAGCAATATTGTTATTTACAAATTCAAATAACATTAATATTCATCATTCATCTACTCTCTCTCTCTCTCTATAAAAATACTTTAAGACGATATTAATTTTTATTCTTCAAGTAGATTTACCACGTATAATCTTCTTAAATTATATAACATGGTATTGATGATATTATTATATATGTGGATAACATGAGGTATTATTTAATTTAATTACACATATAATTTGATAATGGGTATTTTGGCACGAGCTCGGAGGAGCTCCAGCTTGCCAGTTCGCTCGTCCCTAACCTAGCGGAGTCCTATCTCTTCACGACTATAATTAATTCAACTCAGCCGAGACTCCTAGTCCAACAAAGAGTCCTATATCTCTGCCTCCGTTAAATTTTTTATGGAAAGTGCCAGAGTATGTCATTCAAGGGACCCAACAACAACTCATTTGTGTTATGTGAGTGACACATTTTCCCACTTTTCTTTAAAAAATGTAACGGAGGCAGACATAAGGGCTCAATCCACACAATTAGAGAGTTTAGTGGTTCAATTGACCCCAAACAAAAAAAAACATTTTAACCTAATTAGTAGTAAATTTATTCCATTTTGTTGAAACTTCAACCTATTTTATTGCAGCTTTTTTTAAACTTAATAATGATTGCTATGGATCCACATGGTTGGATCGATTTTCTAGACCTAATATTTATAGTAGTAACTCAATCTCATTGAGCTATAACCTTCCCATTTATGGCTAGTAATCTTAACCACATTTGATAGCACATTCATTCGATTGGTATTTTAATTGCATGTAAGGCTGATAAATCGATTTGAGTTTTTTGAATTTAAGCTAACTCTGTCAAACTTTTTTTTTGAATTTAAAAAAAAATTATTCAAACTTGATTCGAATTGAGCCAGCCTTGAGTAATTTAACTATTTTATATCTCAACATCTTTATAAAGCTCTAATAATTGATTAATTCCAAGGCTAAAGATGGCATCGAACGTTAAATAAGGAAGGCATCGAACGTTAATACGCAGAGAATGATCCCATCGAACGTAAGAGAAGGATCCCACCGAACGTTTTCCAGCATTAATAAGGATGCCATTGAGTCGAGTATAAAAACTTGTTAAAGTTTGACTTGTTTAAAAAAATAACTGAACTCGAGTCGAGCTCAAGTAATTCGATTCGATTATCTGCCTTAATTGCATCCTATATTTTTTTTGTACCTTCATTATATGTTGGCCCTGAATTATGGGCCTGTTTGAAGGGTTGGGTTGTCAGCCGCTTTGGGCTTCCTCAGCCACAGCCCGAGCAGGAAGTGGGCTGGCAATTTCGGGTCTACATTCGGAATGATCGGATCCAAGGCAGCCATTTTACCGCCATAAAGGCACCAAAGAAGCTGTTCGAATTAAGAAAGAGCGAAACTGACTGACTTGTAGGAAAAGAAAGCTCACCGTACTTGTACTCGGCGTTCCTCTTCGGAAATTCATCTCTCAAAAGCTCGCTCGAGGGGGTCGAGACAGTCTAGTGTTTCTTCAAATCGCCAGTTTAGGGTTTTCTTGATCAAGAATCGAGAGACAGTCTAGTGTTTCTTCAAATCGCCAGTTTGGGGTTTTCTTGATCAAGAAACTTTCACAGTGAGATTTAGTGTGTTCAAAATGACGAAGGTTCCGACAAAGAACCGCAAGAAGAAGGTCGAAGATCTGGTAAGTAATACTCATTGGTTCTTGAGAAATATCGAAAGCAACAAAATATAGATTGCAATGTGGTTGTTTGTGATCTAATTGTGATTATTGTTGATTTTTTTTCGTTTAAAGTCAGAGGAGGATTTGGCGTTGAAGAAACGATTGGAGTTGTATTTGGAGAGGATTCAGGGCACTGATCCGGGAATACAGAAGGCTGCGATCGAGAGTATGAGGTATTCAATTAGTTCAGTAATTTGAGTGCCATAATAGTGTGTTTTGGTTCAGTTTGAATAAAAATTGAATTTCTGTTACGTCAGTGTTTTATGCAACTCTGACCAAATTGTTAGAATTTTATACTGGTGGTATTGTGGGCCTTGTGTGTATCCATCTTTATACTAAGCATCCTCAAACAAATTAGGGCCAATTACATGCTGAAGGAATTGATATGAGAGATTTTTTAAACATTAACTTGAACAATGCGGTCCTTCCATTTCACCATTCAGTTTGCTAGTAAACATTGGTATTTAGCATCGTTTCATAATAAAAAATCTACCCCAAGTAATATAAGGGAATTTCAGGTGTTTTGGTGTATGAGGTATTACTTGTTTTAGACAAGCTTTCTTTGCATAATGGTCTTGGAGAAACTTCTGTGATTTTATGCTGAATATTGTTGGATTTGCAAGAAGTTTTTCTTTTTGAAATTGTGGGCTTTTGTTTGGCATGTAATCTTGAAATTATGTTATCAAATGTCTAGATAATGATTTTGCCGCAGTTTAAAGAGGGAAGTTCAGTTGTCTTGGTGTTTAGCAATAAGCGAAATGCATTTTAGTTTTAAGAACAATAGCTTATTTGTGTGTTTGGACCTATGTACGTGAGTCATGCTTCTCAAATTGCCACATTTGCATTTCAGACAATTACGAGTCAATTGCAAACTGCTAACCTAACTTGACAACTTGTTGAGTGGCAATGCTAGTGAAGTAGCATTGATAACTTCAAAGGAATGTAGTAAGGTGTGAGCTAGAGAGATTTCCCCTAAATGTCCCTTGGAATTTGTTGGTGTTTCATCTGAGAAATGTGTTGATATTGTTAGTTAGAACTTAGAAGCATGTTTTGCTCAGATACAGAGGTCCTAATAAGAAATTTTTTTGTTATGATTATGTTAAGCTCTTTGATATAAGCAATATGTGTGAAAAAGGTATGTTGGTGAGAGCGCGAGGTGCTTATCTTTTGAACTTTGAGTCACATAGTTAAGGGCATTTAGTAATTGAAGAAGTTATCTTGAGTAACTTAATAGAATTTTAAGTGTTTGATGAATTGGGTGCCAGATGGATATATTATGTGCAGCAGGTCATGGCTGTAACATATTAGCATCTTACTTTGTGCCTTTCAGTTTGTTGAGATTAGAGTGACTTATATAAAAAAATTTAAAAATTAGTTCAGTAAATTGATCTTATATAAATTGCTGGCACTAATGATTTGATCACTACACTGAGTGAGCTAGTTTGCTTTCCCTTAACTGTCCAGTGGATTTGTTGGATAATCATGTCAGCTTTTTATTTGGGATGGGAGCTAGAAGATTGAAAAATGTTTTTTAATTATGTTACTATCTCAATTCTATTGGCTTGTGTATGCTGAAGAGTGTGTAAACATCGTAAGTGATCTGTAGTGGCAATTCCTTGATAACTTGACTTGAGGTTTAAGTTGGCTGTTTTGGTCTAGACAAGAAATTTAGCAGCTAGGTGTAACTTGTGAATCTCCTGCACCTTCATGAATGTATGTGATGGCATAATAGATGTCTGGAGCCAGTATGTGCTGGAGCAACATCTAGATGATAGTTAACAACTAACATGCTTGCTACACAAAAAAAAACTATTGGGTTAATGCTTTGTGCACAAATATCAGACTTTCTTACTTCCTGCCAATGAGATTTTGCTAGTTTGTTATTTTCACTAGCTGCACCTCGGAGGGCCATTTCATTTTTGATGGTCTGCAGAGACCAATGCAACTATGCCAATGTATACATGAGTAATTAAGCTGATAATTTAGTATGACCATACAAAAAATCTTATGTTGTAGGCACGAAATTCGGACCTCAACAAACTCTATCACTTCAGTTCCAAAGCCATTAAAGTTTTTGTTCCCTCATTATGGAACTCTAAAAGCTTGTTATGAAACAATGGTGGACTCAGATTTAAAGGTATTAGTTTATTGGTTGGACATCCATGATCATTTCGTTCTCTTTTCTAGCCATATGCATAAGATCTGATATCACACACTCCTCAAAATGCAGAAAATTCTAGCAGATATGATTTCGGGTTTGGCCTTGACCATGTCTGCTGAAGGAGAAAGGGTATGCTTGTTATTGCAGGATTTATGTTAGATGGTCAAGCTTTGTTTATTATTTATTTGTGTTTTTAGGTGATTTTCTTGCTTCATTATGCATCACATTTCTTTGCCTTGCATCTCTGCCCTGGTCAACTATTATGTGTTGATTAGGCTATGCTTACTTAGGTATCATGCCTGCATATCCATTGTTAGAATTTTGTAATAAAATATTTCATTTTACATGGAATGCCTACTGTTCTGATGGGTGTGCGTCATTAAATGTCATTGTGACAATCGTCCTTTGTTTGCCAAGTGCTTTTGACTGATTTTTCAATATGGCCAATCTTTCAGGAGAGCCTAAAGTATAGGCTATTGGGATCTGACGGTGATATTGTTTCATGGGGTCACGAGTATGTCAGGTGAGCATTGTTTGCCACTATTTGCCGCTAGCAGTAAAAACAATGTTTTTACTTTGTTGGTTAGGTTTCATGGTTATGGCCCTGGTTGTTTTGTGACACCTAACTTGCAGTGTGAAGTAGAAAGAAAATTAGAATCTTGGTGACATGCAAAAAAGATCATTAGCCTTCATGATGTTTTTGTGGTTTTGGACGCAATAGTTTTAATGTATGTTTTGAACAGAAAGCCCACTTAACCTGTATTTCTCTTATCACTTTCCCTTGTGGGTCATGTTTGAATCCAAAAACTATTCCTTCGGCTACTTTTCAATTTTTGTTCCTTTCTGATCTTGGGCTTTTTAGTTTTAAGAACATTTTGTGTAGTTTATCGTTTTCAAAGGCTTGTAACTCCTAGGGCTTATATCTTGAGTCATTAGTCAGGCTGAAATTTCTTTGTTTTTGCAATGGCGGCTCCATCACGTTTTGGTCTCAATTTATATAGTAATATGAGGTCTATAATGGCATGCAGATTTTAAGAGCAGTGCATAAGCAAAAATAGAGAAGGTGAAATACTGCCTAGAATACACCACCTATGCGTTTATATACCATTATCGTCCTGCCTGTTCATTACTTTCATCCCTCTTGGCTTTGTGTTTCATGATGCATAGGTGAAATATATGATTCCCATCTGATTCTATTGCCCAAAAATTCTAGTTTGTGGGTTGTGGTGGTTATTTGTGGCAATGTATTGGTCCTTTCTGTGAATCCTACCGGTAGTGTTTAAAGGATATAGATTTATAGTTTGTGAACTTCTGTTTCAAATTGAGCTATCTCATGAGTGATTAACTTGTTTGTGATAGAAACTTGGCTGCAGAAATTATAGAAGAGTATGCAAAGCAGCAGGTGAGTGCTTCTATACTTGGAAAATTTATGATTAGCCCCCTCATTAGGAAATGGGATAGATTTCGGGTGCACCCTTTGAGTTGATATTTGTGATCCACTCATATTTATCAATCAGCTGTTCCCAAATAATTGGGACAAGGTTTTGTTATGTTTTTGCTTGATCCGGAATCTTATGTATTAAATGCATAAATGTATCTGTCCTTTGATGTTTCCTTCTTCTAAATGTTGATGGTGGATGTGTGTGTCTGTGTGTGATACAAAAAAGTTATTTTATGTTGTATTTTTAGTAATGTTGGTTATTAATAACTCATTTTTGGTATATTTGCTTTGTTTCTCTAACGTATTTTAGAATGAAGAGGGCCCGTTTGATGATATAATGGCGCCTGTACTAGACATTGTTGCTTTCCACATGAAGGTGTGACTCAACTAAAAGCTTTCTGTTCAGTGATTACATCATTGCATAAACAATATAGTCGGATTGAGGGGTTCAGCAGAACTATTTGGTGCCTTTGGCAACATTTGGATATCATAGTTCATATTAATCATGGACATGCATAAGCAAACCACCATTTTTTGCACTTCTAATATTTGTTTCTGCATTGCAGCATAATGCGGAACTTGAAGCTGTAGATCTTTTGCTGGAGGTAATATGCTGTCATTTGCTTTAAATTTTTTAGCTTCCCTTAAAGTACTATAAGACATCTCTTGAATTATTCCAGGTTGAAGACCTTGATGAACTGGTAGCACACATGGACACCACAAATTATCAAAGAACATGCTTGTACCTTACTAGTTCAGCAAAGTAAGGGGCCTTTACTGATTTTGTAGGATTTTCAGATTGGCTGGCTTGTTTTTTTATTTATCTTTCCTGTCTTTGTAAATAGTGTGGCTACTGGTCGAAGGGTCTTCTCTTGAAAATTTTAAATGCAAATCCTATTATTACCCAAGATGATGGTTTTATCTAGAAGAATTTGTAAGTTGATAATTATATAGCTGTTCATCCTAATGTTTTGTAGTTGAGGAATTTGGTGATGAATTGTGCAGATTGCACTTTGTCGGTTGGTACAAGTTCAATTGGTTTGAAATTAGGGTTTTGAAGAAGAAGAGAGAGTAAGAGAAAAAGTGAATTAGGAAAAAAGGGAATAGTGTACACGACTACACACAACATATATAGTCACAAAGTACATAATACTGAACTACCCTTAATCTAGAAATAATGCATAACTTAACACTCCCCCTTAAGTAGGTGCATAGATATATCTCTTGCTCAACTCGTAAATAATGGGGTGAAAAACTTACTACTAAGCCTCTTTGTGAAGATGTCAATCAACTGGTTTTTTGATTTCACAAAAAGTATGCAAATCAATCCCTTGTTTAATTTTTGCATAATAAAGTGTCGGTCCATTTGAACATATTTAGTTCTATCATATTGGATTGGATTATGGGCAATATTGATAGTAGAGTTGAAATACAATAGTTGTAATATTAGGGTTTGATGAGAATAATAAAAGAAAAAGAGAAACAAAGAAGATGATTTTTTTGAATAGAGTGGAATGAATAATCTCATTCCTATACTCCTCTTTATTTATATTACCAAGTATGTCAAAATACCAAAGATATCATTCTAATTTTTCACATTTTCTAACACTCCCTCTCAAATTAGTGTATAGATGTTACACATGTCCAACTTCTATAAAACATCAGTTAACTGGTCTCCAGTCTTCACAAAAAGGAGTGCAAATAAGTCCGAAGCTTAGCTTTTCTTTAATGAAATGTCTTACAACTTCAATGTGCATGATTTGATTATGTTGAACTGGGTTATGAGCAATAGTGATCGCCATTTTGTTGTCGTAATAAAGTCTTATAGAACCAAATTAATCAACGCCAAGTTCTATCAACATAATTCGTAACCACAAAAGCTCACTGATAGGAATCGGAATATATTTCATTATAGTAGGCGTAAGGATTAGGAGTTATTTGTCATTATGCTTTTCAGGGGTTTAGTTGTCATTATGACTATTTATTTCTTTTAGAGTTCTTTTAGGATTTGTGGTCTCCCTATATATATAGAGGAGATATGTTATTTGTTTTGGTAGACTTTGATTGATTATTGATATTGAATCTTCTTTCTAAAATTCTCTCTATTCTCATCTCCTTCTTCTTCTTTTCTCATCTCTTTCTTCTTTCTTTCTCATCCCTAATTTTTTCCTAATACGATCTACATCATTTACACAACCCATGTGTCATTGCTCTAAACTCGGCCTCGACACTAGATCTTGCCACCACTTACTATATCTTACCACTCTAAGTCACAAGGTTACCTTCAACAAATGCACAGTACCCGAAAATAGATCGTCTATCCATGATCGGTCCTTCCCAATCTGCATCTGTATATGACTCCAACCTCTAGTGATTGTGTCTAGAAAATAGAAGACTTCTCCCAGCTTCTGATTTTAGATATCGAAGAATTCTAAAGACAACCTCTAAGTGAGACGACCATAGAGAATGCATGAACTAACTGACCACAATAAGCAATATCTGGTCGAGTATGTGAGAGATAAACCAACTTACCCACAAGTCTAATATCTACCCGTATCAACTTTTGTATCATCGCCATTCTCTCCCAACTTATGATTTTGCTCAGTTAGGGTATCACATGGTTTGCAACCAAGTATTCCTGTCTCTTTTAGCAAGTCCAACACATACTTTCGTTAAGAAATAAATATTCCTTTGTTTGATTGTGCAACCTCTATCCCAAGAAAGTATTTTAAGTTGGCTAAGCCCTTTGTCTCGAATTTCTTGGCCAAGGATGATTTCAGGATTTTCAATTCCTTGGTATCGTCATCGGTTATAACAATATCATCTACATAAACAATAAGAACAGTAACCTTCCCTTGTCTGTGTCTAAAAAAGAGGGTTTGATAAGCATAAGTTGCATAACTCTGTCAATACCCATATTTTTGCATAGCTCTACTAAACCTCTCAAACTATGCTTTAGGAGATTGTTTTAAGCTATAAAGAGACTTTTTTAACATAAAAACCTTTCTTGATGCCTTATCGAGTGTCTTGCCACGTGCCAAGATGTCTTGTCAAGTGCCTTGCCAAGTGCCAAAATTGGGATGGTCTCTTCAGCAACTAGATGTGAAAATACATTTCTTCATGGTGACTTGCAAAAGAGAGCAACATCCTGATGGAATTCATCTTAGCCATTAGTGTAAAGGTTTCTTGATAATCAATACCGTAGGTTTGGGCAAACCCTTGGCCACCGGTCTAGCTTTATATCTGTCCACTGATCCGTTTGCATATGTTTTATGGTAAAAAAACCCATTTTCACCCAACAGCTCTTTTTCCTTTATGAAAAACTACAAGGTCCAATGTATTCTTCTTCTTAAGTGTTCTCATCTCCTCTACCATAGTTGTCCTCTACTTAGAATCTAACAATGCATCGCCTCAATCCAGTGGAATAGATGTAGATGACAGGAAAGAGATAAAAGCATGCTAGGAAGGTGAGACTGAGAGATAAGACACAATTTGAAATTGGATGTTGAGTGCAAGATTGAACTCCCTTACAAACTGAAATGGGAAGATCAACAACATCCAAAACAAAAGGAGTAGGATGAGCTAGGAGGAGAAGAAACATTACCTGAATTTGAAGAGTCCAACTAACAGTTATCATGGGAAATATCAGTGGTCTTACCTTTTTTTTCTCCTCGAGTAAGTCAACATCTCTTTAATCCTAGCACCTTGGCCCTCTTTGTCTATATCGCAAAATGGGGACTCAAGAGACTGTGGTTTCAAACTAAGGTAAAGGTTGAGAAATCAAGGACAAAGACTACTCTTCACTAATAGGCTCCCCCGAAGAGTAGTCTTCGGACCAAAAAAGTAAGATGCGGACTCAAAAAATGTGACATCCATAGTGACAAAGTGACGCCAAGTAGGAGGATGATACCAACGATATCTCTTATGAGTAGCGGAATAACCCAAGAAAACACATTTCAAAGCCCTTGGATAAAGTTTGCCTTGAGACTAACCATGAATATGAACAGAACATACACAACCAAATATACTAGGTATAATAGAAAACACGGAGGATAAAACACCCAAGATCTCAAGAGGAGATTTGAAAGATAGGAAGAAAAGGCTGAAAAGTCCAAAAAATCTTTCAAAAAATTAAAATACAAGTTAGATGACTTCAAAAAATTTCAAAAAAATCACTATAATACTCAATAATCCAAGTCAAAACTGTCCTGAAGATTACAAAGTCGTTAGGGTTTTTGGAGAAAAAAAGAAGAAAGAAGAAGAAGAAGAAGAATACGAATGGAGAGTAGTGTGCAGTAAGAACAACATCTCCCATAAAGATTGAGGAACATTAATGGTAAATAATAATGAACGAGCGACCTCAAGAAGGTGGTATTTTTTTGCTCACCAACACCATTTTATTCAGGGGTACTCATACAAGTGGTTTGATATAGATTGTCATTCTCATTGAGGTAAGAATGAAATTCCTTATCAATATACTCAATGTCATTATCACTACAAATGATTTTAACTTTGGCATAAAATTGGGTACTCACCATTTTATGAAAAGATCTAAAGCACGAGAAAATTTCACCTTTACTATGTAGTAAGTAAGCCAAAGTAAGACAAGAATAACAATCAATAAAAGTAACAAACCAACAATAATAAAAAATGGACACAACACAGAAATGAATAAGGTCGCATGCGTATTATGGTTATTTTTGTGAAATTTTTTGAATCCATCTGATCGATCTTTAGATTTTTGAATTTTTTTTAAAGAATTTTTAAATGCTGACGTCACCATGTCAAAAAGTGACATCAAACACTGCTGGTTGCGACGACAATTTTTTGATGGGTTTCCAACATCTTTGAGATGTATTTGATCGGAGCTCTAATAGTATTAACAAAATATGTGGATCCTTCACAGATATTTGTACACATAGAGCAAGATGTATAATTTTTAATTTTAATCTACATCCTCTTTTTTCAAGTTCACATACAATACAAAACATCAACAAAATTTCATTTGACTTTAAAGACACAAGTGGTTTTTAAGTATTATCTACTATTACATGTCATAAAAATATAAAAAAAATAAGTTAATTGCACTATAATTTTATTAACAAATACTTGTAAGCAAACCAACCAGTTAAATGTTGGTTCTGATTTCTTTAATTGGTCACTTTTATTTTATGCATATATCATAATGAGACGATATTATATATTTTTCAAGGTAAAAATTATTAATTTTGCTTATTATTGTTAAATAATTACTAAAAATTGTAATTTTTAAGTTGTTAAATAATAGTAAAATATAAAATATATTTTATTATAAATGTATTCTGGTTGTATCCAGATATCATTTTTTTAAAATTTTGTCGTATTACTGTATTCGTATTGTATCATACCTTTATCCCATAACCATATAATAGTAAGTTAGATTATTATGACATTAGGGTTTTGGAGAAGAGAGAAAAAGAATTAGGAAAAAAGGGAATAGTGTATTAAATTACACATGTACACCCAACATATGTATAGTCACAATACAATGCACTAAACTACACTTAATCAAGAAAGTGCATAACTTAACTAATTCTTTTGGACTATTTTCATTACCATTTATGTAGTTTAATTGAATTCTATGATTTGGTCAACAAGTAGAGTAGCAATATAGTGAGTCAACAAACAAATGCATGTAACCAGTCCTACTACAATTTTAAAACAATTTTAGGGAATATTTAAATGTTGAAAATATTTTTTTTTTTTTTAAATTCTCCCATGAAAAGTTTGTAAAAAAATTAGGGGTAGTTTTATGTCTTAGGAAAAAGGGGAATTCCTTCTTAAATTAAAAAAGAATATACTTGAACTTCCCTCATGCGATTCAATCTCACAGCTTCCTTGCAGTCACCATATATGTAACATCTGACACAATTCCACAATAGCCAGATCAAAAATGTATATTAGCACAGTTTTCGAAAACATAATCGGATTAGAAATAACACAATTTGCAAATAAATAGATTAGAATGAAATAAAAAATTTTAACAATATTTCCAAAATAATAAAGCATTGACATTATGAAATCCGAGTCCATTCCAGAATTGGAACCTACCAATGCTTCAGATCAGTACCCTTTCTCATAACCTCGATCAAATCAAAATAGTATAATCCAAAAACCTAGATGCACCAACAACATATTCAATTTCTATAAGAATCAAATCACAAAGTACCATTTGATTTTGGCTGCAAAGACATTACCAAATCAAATCAAGCCTAATACATATTGTCATCATCAATATCATCTCAATCCGAGATCATATTGCGGTTGATTTTGACGACAAACTTTAGGGACTTCCTTTCTCTCTCATCTTCTTCCTTCTTCGTCTTTTTTCTCCTTCTCTTCCGCTTCCCTCTCTTCTTTCTCTCTCAGTTCATCTCTATCTTTCTCTTTCGTCCCTCTTCTTTGTTCCCACTTCCTCCTTTTCTCTCTTTCCTTCCTTTTCTACAGTTACTAAAAATAAGGAGTGGGCTGAATTTAAAAGCTAAAGAAGGAGGTGTCTTGCTGCATGATTTGAATGCCACTTTGCTTGACACATGGCATCTATGTGTCCTCTTGCATGGTTTAGATCCTTGATCACTTGACCCATGGGAAAGGGGTGTCTTCTTGCATGCTTTTCATCTCTCTTAGCTTGAAACTTGTCACACATGCATGGCTACCACCTGTCACACATGAATAGCTACACTTTTCACAACAATTATCTAGCCATTAGTTTAGAGTACCCATGCACTTGGACACCTGTACGGACATCTCGGATACATATTTAGCATGACATTTTTCTTCCAACATGAAATCTATACAATATTACATTCATTGGAATTGTCTTTGCACAAGTAATTTACTTTTGAGGTCCATTTAATTATTTGAAATCTCCAAAGAAGTTACCTAATCATTTCATCCTCAAAATTCTTCAAAACTTCATCAACAATTATAACCATTATTCTATAAAAAATTGGGATGTTACAATATAGTAGAGAATCGGTTGTGCAATCAAATGGGATCAATAGGGAAAAACGGTTGCTTAGTTACATTTTTTAAGCATGATGCTTCAAATACTGTTGATAATCAAATAATCATGCCATGGTCGTGTGAACAGGTTGCGCTCACAATAAGTAGAGAATTCCCCAAACAAGCTGCCTTCATCCTACTATCTTCTCCCCTCAAGTTTCACCAGCAAATCCTGATATCTTTGTGTGTGTGTGTTTTTGTGCATGTGTATACGCTTTTATGTGCCTTTGTCTGTTTATCTCTATGCGTGTGTTGAGCACAAAAAATTGTGTCAGCGCTTATATATTTGTTGCTACATCTTGCAGATACCTTCCTGAACCAGATAATATGGTAGTTTTAGATGCTGCATACGTGATTTATATGCAATTTAAAGATTTTCCCAGGGCACTTCAAATTGCACTCTGCCTTGACAAATTAGAGGTTTGCACTTTTCTAGGAATGCGGGATTATTCTCTTTTTTATTGTATAAAGTAAACAATCCCTGTATTATATGAGAATTGTAGAAACACAAAGATATTCTATGTTAGACATTTGTTCTATTATGGTCTCTAGACTTGAGAGAATTTGTTCTTAAATTTTTCATGGAAGAAATAGCATGGCTACACAATTTTATTGTTGTCTCCTATAACTATGTAGTCTTGACATCTCAATGCTCCATGGCAGTACGTAAATCAGGTGCTTACATCTTGTGATGATCTGCTGCAAAAGAAGCAATGTTGTTACATCCTTGCTCGACATGTAAGTTTATTTTTGTGATTTGTTTCATTTCTTTTTAACTCTTTTGGTGGAAGAGTCTGAAAAGAGAAATTGTACATAGTCTAATGTCGCCTTTATTTACAATATACCAAAATAAGTTTTCCATACTAATAGATCATTATTGTTTCTTTCATGCAGAGTATTGCATTTGAGCTTGATGAAGATTTGGCTGCAGATGATAGAGACAGGGAGGTACTGCAAGAAATCATCAACAATAGTAAATTGAGTGAAGGTTATCTTACTCTTGCTCGTGATATAGAGGTCATGGAACCCAAGTCTCCTGAAGATATTTACAAGGTTTGTACATTTAAAATATTGATTATTAGCTGTAGACTTCTTTATCATTCCTTTTAGATGTTTTTAGTTTCACCAGTTTGTGGCAATGTGGTTGCCTATTTCTGTGTTGGTTGCATAATTTATTCAAGTCACAAGTTGAAGTCATTTTGCCCACCTCATTTGTTTCTGTTGTTAGATATTTGGTTTTTTACTACTACATTTTTTTTCACTCCGCTATTTTTTAATAAAATTGTAGAGAAGTAATGAAGCATCGCTAGTGTGTTCATTCCTGTTGTTCTGTTTGTTTCATGTCTCCTCGTTCTTTCCTCCATTCCTGTTTCTTTATCCCTTGTCTCCTGAAAGATGTTATGATTTGCTAGTAATTTTGGTTATTAGCAATATTTGGATGACTATTGTACTATGTGTTCGGTGTATGCATTTCAAATATGTTATCCATCTGGATAAATCCGGGAGGGGGAGAAAAAAGAAAGAAGAAAAAAAGGAAAGAAGAAGAAAGTGGTTAGATGGGTGGCCAAATTATGCCTGTATGTTCTGAGTTTCCTTGATAGCCATGTTTATCCTTTTGGTAGTATTCTGCTTGAAGCGCATAGAGATTATAAGTTCAGGCATCCATACTTGTTTCTTTCTTCATTGATCATATAATGCATTTGCTTGGATTTGATAGGCACATTTACTTGACGGTCAGCCTGGTGCTGGGGCAAATGTTTATTCCTCCCGAAAGAATCTAGCAGCAACATTTGTCAATGCATTTGTCAATGCAGGATTTGGACAGGTAAAGTCGTGTTGTATTGGCCCAGGAAAGGGTGCAGGGCTGTGTTTCTTTGACATTCATTGCTTTTCTGTTGCAGGATAAATTGATAACCTGCCCATCAGAATCTTCAAGTGGTGGTTCGTCATCAAACTGGCTTTTTAAGAATAAAGAACATGGGAAGACCAGTGCTGCAGCGAGTCTGGTATGTTAATCTTAACTGTATGTCGTCTTGCTTGAGTTTATTTTGCTTCTGATTTATTATTTATGTCCCCCATTCCAGGGTATGATTCTGCTTTGGGATGTTGATTCTGGAGTTGCCGAAATAAACAAATATCTCGGCTCCAATGATAACTATGTAATTGCAGGCGCATTATTAGGTGTCGGGATTCTCAACTGTGGTATCAAGGATGATCGTGATCCTGTGAGTTTCACTGAAAGTTTTCTGCACATACATCAGTTCCATTACTGTTGGTTTGTTCCTTGCTAGCACGAATATTTTGTCAATGTTGACGTACTCGTATTGGATACCATATCAGATACGATATTTGTTGGATATTCAAAATATATATTAGATACACATTATATGTATCCGATAATTAATAAAATATGTAGATACTTTACTAATACTTCTAAATATGGAACAAGATGTACAATTTTTAATTTTAATCTATATCCTTTCATTTCGAGTTCACATATAATACAAAACATTAATAAAATTTCATTTGATTTTAAAGATATGAGTATTTTTTAAGTATTGCCTACTTTTACATATCAACAGAATATAAAAAATGTATTAATTATACTATAATCTTAAAAACAAATACTTCTAAATAAACTAACTAGTTAAATGTGGTTCTGATTCCTTTAATTGGTCACGCTCATTTTATGGATATATCATAATGAGACGATATTACATCTTTTTCAAAATAAAAGTTCCTAGTTTTGCTTACTACTTTTAAGGAATTATTAAAAATTGAAAATTTTAAGTCATTAAATAATAGTAAAATATAAAATATATTTCATTATAGATGTATTCTAGTTATATTCGTATTCTTTTTTTTAAAGTTTTCTTGTATCGCCGTATTGTATTCGTTCTTCCGAGGTTCCTTGAGATCTCACAAAGTTTGGTGTTTCAGGCATTAGAACTTCTTGTTGACTATGTAAATAAAGATGATTCTTCTATCAGAATTGGTGCAATAATGGGCCTGGGCCTTGCATACGCAGGCACTCAGAATTTTCTGGTAAATATTCTTGTTTTTTCTCCTTTACAATTGGTAGGCCAGGGCAGTTATATTACACATGGCGGATGCAATCCCCTTTCTTCCCTTTTTCTTGAATTGAGTTTCATCATCAGCGGGACCATTCTGTCCAATCAATGAGACTTTTGTGTTTGCAGAATATAATATTGATTGCTGAATATAAGGCTGAAGCTGAACAGTCTTCATCGTTTTTTAGATACGTAGGAAACTGACTCATATCCTTGGAGATTCATATGCACCCCTTGATGTGATAGCATTTGCAGCTATCTCCCTGGGATTAGTATTTGTGGGTTTCGGTGATGAAGAGGTCAACTTCGCAATCACATCTGCGTTGCAGTACCGAAGTCAGTCAGAACGGGGGCATCCCCTCCTTCGACTTTTTCCGCTTGGCCTTGGTCTGCTTTTCCTTGGGAAGAAGGTAACCAAATTCAGTGGAAGAGATTTTCTTGTGTTCTCTTCAATTCTTGTGTATAGAGAGATCTTAAAATTAAGTTGTCTTCTTACTGCTTGAGATTATATTTTTTCAGCTGGTCATTCAAAAGTTCACATGTAAGTTACTTGTTTATAGGATTCTGATAATTGTGGAATTCACTTTTGGCATCTAACAGGATTTTCTGGACCCTACTGAGTTTTCAAAGAGTTTTGATGTCAAAATCAGAAAATATTGTGAAATGACCCTGCTTTCTTGTGCCTATGCTGGAACTGGGAACGTACTCAAGGTCCTTAATTAGATCCACTCTGTTGTATGTGGGAATTGCAGTTACATGCATGAAATAGCTAACTGTCCTCTTCTCATAGGTCCAACACTTACTGGATGAGTGTGTACATCATCTCAAGAATGGTGGAGTCTACCAGGCACCTGCTGTACTTGGAATTGCTATGGTAGCAATGGCTGAAGAACTAGGCCTTGAAATGGCAATTCGTTCTTTGGAGCATCTTTTGCAGTATGGCAAGCAGTACATCCGAAGGGCAGTTCCTTTGGCTCTTGGTCTCCTCTGCATATCAAACCCAAAGGTACCCATCCTTGTGATATTTTCCAGGTTGAGCACCCTTTGAGATTAGGACAATATTCCAGTTGCTAGGATTCTTACTTTTTTGTTCTGTTGGTTTCGCTTGCTAACTAACCTTTGCTGGGGGCTTTTACCAGGTCAATGTTACCGACACTTTAAGCCGACTTAGCCATGATACCCGTGGAGAAGTAGCAATGGTATTGTGATACAATAGCTAGCTTGATTTCTCTGTTTGTGATAGCAACTATTGTGATACTTCTCATGGTTATTACACTAAAGCCTGAAATGTCTGGTTGGTACAGGCTGCCATCATCTCCTTAGGTTTGATAGGCGCAGGAACTAACAATGCCAGAATAGCTGGCATTCTTCGCAATCTTTCAAGTTTTTACTACGAAGAAGCCAACCTTCTATTCTGTGTAAAACTACTTTTTGGCTCTTTTCAGAGACACACGCACGAGCCTTGGTTTGGTTTCACTTTCTAGGTGGATCCTATTGACATTTAGTAATTTCATTTCCCACTTCTGCTTTTGCAGGTGCGCATTGCTCAAGGTCTTGTACATTTGGGGAAGGGGTTGTTGACTCTTTCTCCGTATCACTCTGAACAGTTTCTACTATCCCCGTAAGTTTTTCTTTTGTTGGTAGAACTGAGACGTGTATATATCCATTCTAATTGATTTAGTTATAATTAGAGGTGGCCAAGGGTCAGGTCTGCCACTAAAAGTGAAGTTCGGTGATCGGGTTTAAGCCAGGACGGACTCCGATGCTAGGTATATGGACTTAGGCCCAGCTCTTCGGGCCCTAATAAAAGTTTTATGAATTTAATGCCGGTTTTATATTTTGTTCTTAGAAATTGTAGAAAAATATGTTAAATTAAAATAACAATTTTTAGTGTAAAAGTTATTGTTTAAGTAGGGCAAGGCAGTGGACCAAAACATAGCTACGGGGATCATACATACCCCAAGCGTGGAGTAGTTTGGGCTTTGTTTGTACATATCTCGAATAAAGTAAGAATCAACCTTGATGTGCTTGGTCCTCTCATGGAATATTGGATTAGTAGCACTGTGAAATGTCACCTAATTATCACAAAACAACTATAGGGGAGTTTGGGCTGGGAAACCAATCTCTTGTGTGGTATATGTCATTGCTCAACAGTCAAGCTTCGCACTAGATCGTACTACCAAGGTTTGCTTCTTACTCTTCCACGAAACCAGATTACTACCTAAGAAAATTGCCAGTAATCGACCTTTGATCGGAAGGAGATCCAAATCAGTCAGCATCTGTGAAACTTTCAATTTTCATTTGATTGATACAATAAACCAAGTCCACGAGCCATTTTAAGATAGCAAAGAATGTGAAGATAGCAAAAAATGTGAACAACGGCATCCCCAATGAGGTACTCTAGGTGCTCCCATAGAGTGACTTACAACACACTGCATATGCAATATGTGGCCGAGTAATAATGAGATAATTCAAGTTCCCAACCAACTTGTGATACTTGCCTGGATTTTTAATAGTACACTGTCATCCACTAGGAGTTTTTAATTCAGATCCATAAGAACATCAACTCGTTTTCCACCTAGCAAACCTGCTTCTTTTAGCATATCAGTACCGTATTTTTTCTAAGACAAGCCAATACCTGCCTAGACCTAGCAACTTTGATACCCAAGAAGTGCATAAATTTGTCCAAGTCTTTAGTATGAAATTTGCCCCAAGAAACTTGTACCCAAGACCTGACTAACAGATAGCTTACCTAAAACGAAAATTGCGTCTTAGTTAGCACTCTTTATTATTTGATTTTTGAATGACAATTTTTTCCTGATGTGATGCTTATTTTAATTATGGTCATCAAATATTTTGTTCATCTTTTTATTCTTTTCTTTAGGACGGCTCTGGCTGGACTTGTAACTTTTCTGCATGTGTGTCTTGACGGGACTATGATCTTGGGGAAATATCACTACGCTGTGTACTTCCTTGTTTTGGCAATGCAGGTTTGTTGTTGGTCTATATATGTTTTTATTTACATTAACCCCCAAATTGTTCAAGATCAAATAAGACCAGGAAACAGCTTATGTCTCTTCGCCATATGTTGTGGATAGGCTTGTATACGTTTTTTTGTTTTTTTAATCCGGAAGGTAGATAGGCTTGTTCATTTATCCCTTTGAATCTTGTATCATGTTTCCCTCTAATTTTTCAGCCGAGGATGCTGATGACTGTGGATGAAAATCTGAAGTTGCTGTGCGTGCCAGTCCGGGTGGGCAAAGCTGTCGATGTTACTGGTCTGCCAGGTCGACCCAAGACCATCACTGGTTTCCAAAACTTCCTAACACCTGTTCTTCTAGCTGCTGGCGATAGAGCAGAACTTGCTACTGAAAAGTACAATAATCTTTTTGTTGAACAACTCATCAATTAAAATTCTTACATTTTAAAAAGTGGTGTTCACATTTTACCAGTTACTGCATGCTAATAATAACCGTTCCTTGTGCAGGTATATTCCACTCTCACCCATTCTTGAAGGTTTTGTCATCTTAAAAGAGAATCCAGATTACAGATATGATCACTAGCTGATATTCATGAGGGACGGTCGAATTTCACTCAAATTGTACATTCTCCAGAACCATAGAATCGGGCCTAACGGCTAGCTTATCCACTGGATTGTGTGGATTATAAAGCATTTGAGTTGTTTTTTGCTTCATTTTTGATGCGTTGGGACAGTGTAAACTTGACAATGACGATTGACCTCTCCAACAAATATAAGTACATTTTACCATGCAAGTTGGTTATGTGAGATTAGTCGCTATAGAAAATAGTAAATTGGTATTTCAAGAGGCATTTGGACATCATGTAGAGATTGATGATCTTTAGTCAGTGTCTTTTTTTGGAGAGCATGTTGAAGCGTTGGGGGTTCCTTGGTCACTGTAGCGCAAAATTTTTTATTTTTTGCCATATACAATTTTACTCGCACAATAAGGAATTGTATGAATTTTATTAATGTAGGTTAAATCTATTCCAAAAAAATTATACCCCTTAATTACAACCCCTTGTCTTAAGGAACACACTTTGATTCCAATGAAAAATCATCATGCATCTCTGTTTAACTCACAATGGCATGGAAAAAAAAAATTATTTATAGTTGCGGGTGGATTCAGAGTAATTTTCAAGGTTGTTTTAAGTCGATTTGTAGTTTGGATGGGTTAAGTTATTTGGGGTAGAATCAATAGGTAGATGACCCGATGATCACGGGTATAAAACTCACTTCATTTAATACGAAGTGGCATATTAAAATTTATACTAAATGCATATTCTCAATTTTCATACAATGACGCAAGACATTTACTTAAGATAATGTTAAAAACTTGCTTGACTAGTTATACATTTGATCGAAAAAAGAATGAGATCCATATTTATAATTTATAACATACATTAGGGATTTTTGTCACATATATTTGGAGACTTATAGAGAATAACACCATTTAGTATATAGTGAACTACTATACAATAAATGTGAATCTAATATATGTTATTCTATTACTGAATACAAGAATTCGAACTTGATGACACTCGTTGATGATGAAAAGAAGACATCGACAATCGCTTTTTTGAAGACAAAACTCTACACCAAGTTTTTTGATCTTTGTGTAAATGTATTTTGAGGAGGTGATTTTGATGGAATCCTAAGTTATTGTCTCACGTATTCTATGGTATTCTTGTTTAAAAATTTAAAATATCTAAAAATATGGTATTTTGTTGTCTGATTTTGATGAAAAAGTGATCACTAATGACGTTATTTCAAGTGCTGAATAAATGAGTTTCTTTATCAGTCATTTTAGGTTACGAAATCAGTGTTATCATAACCAAATTGAACCCTAAGCCGATCCAATTTAGCTATTAGATTGCCCATACATGTGAACTATTAATGGATCGTGAAAACCAATCGGTTTTAATAAAATCCAGTGAACCTGTTCAAAAAAAAACCCAGTGGTTCAAATACTAAGGGTATAAAATCAAATTTTAGGGCAAGTTTTGCCCTAAATCCATCGTCTTTCTTGAGAAGCTATTAGTTGCAGTAGGTGAATAAGCAGGAAAATAAGGGGGAAATGATTAGAAAAGGGGAAATGGGGCATTTGTGTTGTCCGTTTGTAATCTGATAAATTTGAAGAACGATTCTCCTATATGAATTTATTTGGAGTTAAGTTTGTCAAGGAAATTTATTTAGTTTTAAGTCCGTTTTTTGTCAATTTTACTATTGTAACTCTTTCCAAGCCACAATGTTTTCTCATCCGAAAAAAACCATCCAAAAACAACAACCTGACATTTACTAAAAATCTTTCATATTCAAAATTAAAACCCATTACATTCTATAAAATAAAATTTCAATTTACTATTTCAGTTTACTTTGGACTCCATTGACAAAATATTAATATTGAAAAAATAACAATAGTAACATACTCAACAAAGACAGTAACATGGTCAAAGTGAGCATTAACCTTGTAACCAAGGTTCATGAAAACTTATATATTAGTATTAAATTAAAGTGTTATAGATTTTGATTATGTTGATTTTTTTGTTGCGCAAGACAATCGAGTATTCTTTAGTTGTGTTATTGTGAAAAAAATTCATGTTACTGTACGTGAACCGAAAAATGGAGTTCAGAATTTCGATGTCTTGATGTTCACAATTGATGTTAAGTGTCGTAATTCAACTGTCGATTGCGTATTACTACTCTTCATTTTGTAAATTATTAATTTGTGGATCGTATTTTTACTAAAATCATTCGAAAGTTGATATTACTGTAAAAAAAATTATTGTATTGTATTTTATAAAATTAGATGTACAAAACTTTGATATTATTGTGAATATTAAGTGTATGTTACATAATATACGTCTCAAGATTTGTAATTGTATGTTAAAATTTACTGTAGTAACGTTAGTATCAGTATCTGATCAAAAAAAAAAACATTAGTATCAATATAATAACACGACTGTACTGGTAACACGACTCTAATTGTAACTTCAATCCTATTGTAGCATGAATGTTACTATATATTAACATTCGTATTATAGAACTCTGTTGGCATTGTTCAATCTCTCTATATTATGCATTATTATTGTTAAGAAAATTTTGTGATCTGATTTTGACTTAATAGATCAACGATTATTTCGTAATTAAGCTTCTTGTGTATAACTATCAGAATATATAACTTCAATATAAAACTTCTGTTAATTATCATAATATTTAATAAACAGTTTTTATATATAAGTTAATCAAAGGTTTCATATATACCTTAATGATCTAACTAATGTGACTTTTCATAACTGGACAAAATTAACACCGTTAAGGGTAATTTTGAGATTTAAAAAATAAATGGATTTAAATACTTACATATAAGTTTAAACATAGACTTATTCTCAAATAAGTTTTCTTCCAAAACTCAAGTTAATATAAGTCCATCTAAGGAACTTACCCTCAATTTTTCCCTTATAATTTTATACTTTTATGGGATTTGCTTTTGCTAGTTAGCAATAATTTATATATGTGATTGGGGAGTGATTCGTGTCTTTTATAAATATCATATTTTTTTTAGTTTATTCATTATGTGTATATTTTATATTTTTATTAAACGATTGGTTTGACGAATTTATTCAACGGACCATTAACTCAATTTTTTATTAGTTCGATGTCCAGTTTAATTTTGATAACACTCTATCTTTTTACCTAGGAGTGTCCATGGACGGGGTCGAGTTAGGCCTGTGAAATTTTTTTTGGGCTGAGCTGGGCTTGGGTAGTATAGACCCAAACTCTTATTCAAGTGAGTTATTGGTCGGTCGGGTTTTTGGATAAGGGTAGACTATCCATAACCCAACCTGCAAGCCTATTGAATGGGCCTGCTCGCGGGTTTTTTGTATATACAACCTCATTTAAAAATAATGAATATTTTTGTAAGTTAATATTTGTGTAAATTATATTTTTGAATAAAAAATAGAGTCAAAATTAATAAAAATAAAATAATAAATAATTTTATTTTTAATTAGAGAATGAATACATCTCAACTAGGTTAACACCTACTCACTTTATCTATCATTTGCATTACTCTACCTTTTAAAAATTATATGTTTAATTCTGACATTTGTAGATTTATTTTAAAGTTTCAAATTGTGAAAATTGGAAGTGAGACTCCCTAGATGTACTTGTTTGGAGATAAGTCCTGTAAGAAAATTTATAAGGGGCTAAGTCCATGTTTAAAATTATATGTAATGACTTAAGTCCACTTTTTTTTTATCTCAAAAATACTCTTTATTGAAAGGAAGTTAATTTTTTTTCTCTCATATCTATCTATATCCATATATAGGTTAAGAGTTTGATTTACATTAAATTTTTTTTTCTATTATATATATATATATATCTATATATATATATATATATATATATATATAGTAACATTCATACAAAAAAAAGTTTAGTATGAATTTGAATAGTAAAATTAAATTCATGTTACTATTTTTTTTTATATTACTGGTTTGTTAAGTATGTTACTGTTCATGTACAATTATTTTTGAGTATGTTATTATTTTTGTTGAGCATGTTACTACTATTATTTATAAATATTACTATTTATTTTTTTTGAATATTACTATTTTTAGTATTTGAATTGTACTATTTTTTACGTTTGAATTTGAGAGAAATAATTATTATTAAGTATGTTACAGTTTTTGTTAAGCATTTTACTATTTTTGTTGAATATGTTAATATTTTTGTTGAATATTCTACTGTTGTTATTTTTTAAAAATATTAATATTGAATGTTTCAATTTTTTTATTTAAATGTTACTATTTTTTTGTGTTTAAATGTATTACTTTTTGTGTCTAAATAATAACTTTTTTTTATTTTTAATGTTATTATTTTTTATTTTTAATGTTACTATATATATAACCTATATATAGATAAATAAGAGAGATGAAAAATTTTAATGTTAGTCAAACTTTAAGATTTAAAAGTATTTAATTTTTAATTTTATTTCACTTTTAAAAGGAAAGTATAATATGATAAAATTGACAAAAAATAAATTTTATAATAAATAAGTTTATTTGACGGACTTAAGTCCAAACAAGTCCATATAGGGGGCCGGCTTCCAAATTTTACTTTCAAATTTAATGATTTAGAAGAATAATTTTTTTTAAAGAAAGGGTGGCGTGGACTGGGCTTGGTGTAGGAACTCTTGGGTCGGGTTTTTTTGGGTGACTATTGAGCTGGGTTTAGTGGCAAACTCAAACCAAAAAGATATTGGGTTCAAACTCGGACCGACCATTATTGGGTATCTTGAATTTCGGGCCTATTTTTTTTTAAGGCCGATTAACAAAACTCGTGAATGAACACCCCTATTTTTACCCATAGATGCTAATTGGGCTAGCTGGACTCATCGCTGTGGGCTTTGAAACGCTTCAAGCCTCCCGTCAAAACAGGCCCCGCCTCCCTCTCTCTCTTATCTCTCTCTCTCTCTCTGGTTTTAGTTT